ACTCGTCCCCAGTCGCTTTGGTGTTACGCAAGTAAACATTAGAGATTTTTCCTTGCCACTGAGCTATAAATATCACTGTTATATCATTAAATATCACTGGGACTGCAGAGGAGTCTGGATGTCACCACTGATCTGATTTTATACTGGATACAGCAACTGTATACACGAATCGATACGCATATTTTTTAGTATTCCTGAATAGTATTATATCGGTTCTTAATCACTATCTCAGTTGTGGGTTGATAGTAGTCTTCTCGCAGACTGAATAAGGGGGCCGGAAATTATAGGGGGAAAATTTCTGAAATGAAGGATTGATGTTACCGAAATAATTTTCGGTCTAGGGATTTTGGTGCTAATTTCTATATTAGCTATTATATAACACGAGTATTTGAAGGTTTGTTGAGCACTATATAGCCTATATGCAGCTAGGGCGTTTAAATAATAACTATAATAATAATATAAGTAATAATAATAAATATAAATTTATAAAGCGCAAATTATCATAATAATTTTTAACAAACGTTCGTATTAATTAAATCGTAGAGAATGCTTTTTTGAACTGAAATTTTAATATACAACTACCTTATTGCATTAACACTTTTCATCTTGGTAACTTTACACAGATAGAAATTGATCTTTTGTCTATTCAAATAGACATGTTAGCTGGAAAAAATATCTTGTTCACATGCAGTGGGGAGGCCGGGTTGTTTGAATTATCAAATTTACAAAACATTTAATTCATCTACCAGTTGTGAATCAAACATCTTACCAAGCATGCAAGTCATGCAATTATCCCCATATTAAGGTCTGCATGATCATTGATATGATCATTTCAATCAAATTGCATCTCAAGTCTGGTTTCAGTGATATCACTAGTCAAAAACAATGAATTTCAAAAGAAAAGAATGCAGAACAAAAATATATGTATAAATACGCCCCACCCCGTGATTTAGGTGGTCATGCCGATTTCATAATGACATAAATTTGTCAACATTATTTTTAGTCTAAATTATGGTTGAAATGAATACAGGGAGTTAGGTAATATAAATTCTACATAAAATACTCAGGTCATGGTCAAAAGCCTGTGTTTATTAGGCATATTATAAAAGGCATATAAGCTAATTCAGAAATTGCAGGACTTAACCTATACCATTTCACAAATTCAACCCAATTTGGGGAGGGATGTTAATCCTAGCTGCTGCCCTGACCTCTAAGGTCATTAAAGAGTCATTAGAAAATTAAATTTTACTTGAAAAATCAATATTTTTTGCAATATCATTGTGAACAAGTTGCTTGATGAAAGCAAACAGGCTATTGCCAGTAAAAAAGGTTTATACAATTATATACTAAAGTTAAATTCCAAGCTTGCATGACATATATTAACATGTTGACAACTAACCCACCAAAGTAAAATTCAGTGGCGTAGCCAGCAACGATAATTGGGGGGGCGAATATTCATATATTCATGTTAACAGACTGTAAAGACAATTGATTTGAAAAGAAATTAATCCTGCGTATCACGAATATATGAATATGTGCCCCCCAATTATCGTGCTGGCTACGCCACTGGTAAAATTTAATGCTTGCATGGCCTAAGGCCCCCTTTTTCCTTTATACCCAAACACACTAAACACAGAGCTTTAATCAGCTCTGACACCAGTAGAGTACTGAAAAATATAACAAACAAACTTCATTGTTTATTAAGATTGTTTGTGAAAAGTCATTGGTGGTAAATTATTGATCACACAACATATATAAGCACCCTAAATACTCGTATTTCAACCCTATTAAAATATAAACAAGGTGATCAACATAAGATTTAACAGACAGTAGACTTGCCTTCTCTTGGTACTGGAGCTTTGTTTGAATAGGTGAGGATCTTGGCATTTAGTTCATTGGCACACAAATTTTCGGTCATAGATTTTCTAAACTCTGCCTTTGACGGACTTCCTTCATTTTCCTGCTCGGTTTCCTCTTTGCTCATGACTTTGTAATAGGACGTATCCAAGTTCATTGAACTCCTGTTAGGTATAAAGCGATCGCCCGACGGCGTTTTTGGCGTTCTTTGCTTACCCGGCGTCTTCTTGTTTGGAGATCCAGAAGGAGTTTTATTTGTACTTCGGTTGACAAGTTTATTTGGCGTCGAGGTCTTGGCAGAAAGTGCAATTTCTTCCTCAGCTTTTCGTTGCCATCTTGGTTTTGGTCCATTCTTGATTGCTCCATCTAAGCGAATAATATCATTTATCTCTGTCTCAAAGTTGAAATGCGACATTATCAAGCTTTGTGGTCAATACGTCTTTAATATTTTTCGGTTTGCTAAGTTTTGTAGTCAATAAAAATCGCTTATAATACGAACAAACTTCACAAATCGATGTTTACTTCTCTTTGTATTTCAAATATTCCGCTTCGTCGTTCCACACAAAAGAAATGAAAGAAATAACACTTCTCTAAACGATGATTGGTCGATTCAAAAAATAGAACGATATTATTGGTTGTTGCTATTCAACAACCGTCACACAAAAGTCGCACTATGAAATGCATCACACGTGGAAAATTCTTTGTCTATATTCCCCGGTCGGTAGAAAGACATTACAGTATGTAACTCACTGGTTTTTAACATTACAGAATAAAATAAACTAAAAATAAAATAATCTAAAAATTTGAAGAGCTTGAAAATTTTATACCTAAATTTTAGATAACGTTTATGTTCCAAAAAATGCCATAAATTGATAAAAAAATTTTTTAAATATATTACCGGCATTTGCACTCCCGGAACGTTTAACTAACTAAAGAAAGGAGCCTTTGAAGGCTTTGATGGAATCACAAATTTGATAAATCATGACGGTAAACAAAGAGATTGCCTTCGTGTTGTGTTTTATTACTTTGTGCGCTATATTGCAGCCAAGTACAGAAGATGAACCGGCATTTTATAAATTTGTGTTAAAAGATATAAGCGGGAAGGACGTTGATTTCGCGCAATATAAGGGAAAGGTGAATTTATAATTAGAGCCTATTGTTACATTATTAATATAAAATATTCAAATTAAATCTTCTCGGATTTTGAAATACTTTAACTTTTATCATTACTAATATTTTTTGGTTTATTATTGAGTCTAGTTGTTGAAATCAATTTTATCATCTCAATAACTGGACAGCTTGATTTGGAGTTGAACTTGTGGGGCAATCTCTGTTATAAAGGAATAGTAATAAAATAGATCATAATGCTTGACTTGCTTCACAGCTTTGTACTGTAAGGATAACTCGTGTAACTAACTTTTCATGTTATGCAATATATTTGGACACAAATTTGGACATAAATAATTTGATTCCACAAGACACTGACACATTTATAAATGTTTCATTTCTTTGACTAAAGCATGGTATATCCAAACTGGGTCAGTGGGCAACACCCCTGTGAACTTGGCGAATGCCTTACAATTTGTGATAAGTTAGTTAATGTCAGCTAGCCAGGGCTGTAGCTAGACCTCCTAATCTGGGGGGGGTATATTCATATATACAGCATACAAGATTAATATATGAATAGACACACCCAATAAAGCTTCTAGCTATGGCCTTGCAGCTAGCAATTGACTGGATATTGCACAAATAATTTAAAAGACTATGGAAATTACTATTGGACAAATTACAAACCAATTAGGATTAGTGCTTATGGGCAAAGTTGTCTGCAAGTCAAAAGGGCATGCAGTGGCGTAGCCAGCCTGACGATTTTGTCCCGCTATGTAAATTTCGAGTTATTATAATTATTCATGTCTTTAGAAATCTATTGTTTTCACAGTCAGTGAACACAAAAATATTAGCATAGCAGGACAAATCAACAGGCTGGCTATGCCACTGAGGGCATGCATTGATGTTGGACATTCATGAAATCTGTATACTACACTTTTCATATTCAGTTTTTGTAGACATTATGGAAATCCATATTATTATTTAAGAAGGCAACCCTAGGATGCAAATTTATCATGTGATCATGCAATAGCATTTTACCAGGGAATTACACTAAAACTGGCAACATGAGAAGTTCAATCTTGCATTGTAATGTGCCATGTGCCAATGTAATGTGCCATGTAATCTCCCTCTGAGGTAGTCCGCCCTGATAGTTGATACCTTACAAAGAAGGCATATACTTTTCTCACACCTCACTTTTATTTCTGCCATATGTTGCATATTCTGTTGATTGCTTATATTGCTGTTTACCTTACTTTCAAAGTACCACTCACACTTTTGAATGCAGAAGCTGTAGCATTCTTTCAAGATAAACTTTCAAGATAAAGCAGATACTAAAATAGTCACTTTGGTATATCATGAAAATTTACTAAGCATATTGTATTACAATTATTTCAAGTTTTTTAACTCAATTATTATAGGTCCTACTATTAGTGAATGTTGCAAGTGAATGTGGTTACACTGATGGTCATTACAGAGAACTGGTTCAAATCCAGGACGAGTTTTCATCACATGGCTTCACTGTGCTAGCATTTCCTTGCAACCAGTTTGGCCAGCAGGAACCAAACGACGACAAAGGCATTTTAAAATTCGCCCAAGACAGATACAACGTGAACTTTCCTTTGTTTTCGAAGATTGACGTTGGTGGTGAACACGCTCATCCGTTGTATGTGTACCTGTACCAGGTCACGGCCGACTACCCGAAGTGGAACTTCGGGAAATATTTAGTGGACAGAAATGGAAAAGCCGTTAAGTTTTTCTCACAGAGGATTACAGCGCGAGAAGTTGCTCCCTATATTGAATTGCTGATTAATAATAAGACAATAGATTCTTACCATACCGATTTGTAATAGCTATACATATGCATTGAAACCGTATTTGCAATTTACACCCCATATAAAAATAGGTCAAATTCTGGCCAGAATCCTATAATAATCCTTTTCTGAAGTATACTCTATAGGCAGTATAGTCACTATAGTGCTCAATAAATTTTATCGAACAAGGTAACAAAATGAACAACTTTAATTTCTTTTCGCTGAACGAAATATACATATGATAAGCGGCAAAACGCAGTTTATTTTAAACAGCCTAGCTGAATTGTTTTCAATTTTATCTAACTGCTGTGTTTCTTAATTATTGCATCTGCTTGGTCCAACAGCTAAAAAATGATAAAAATAAATTAAAATCGATCGCCATGTTGACTTGCGGAAAATGTATAAATTTGCCTCAATATAATATGGATGATTTCACCGCTTTTGATACAACCCTTTCAGTGCTCTTTCTTATTCATATTCTTTTCAACTCTCTCTTTAGTCACAAAGTCACCAAGATTATAGCTATATTGGGCGTTACCATGACACCTATATCGTGTTTATCGTGTGTACGATAAATCAGATATGTGGTGATGGAAAGATACCCCGAGGGTAATAAGTATTGTTTTCATAATACAAATTCTTACCTGAGTAAATTTCACTGGCTCAAAAAAGGATTGGATAAATCTTCGCATGGTCAACTTGTAATTATACAAACTCATTTGTTCAATCACCTGACTGTATAAACAAAGATCTTCAAACATCTGTGGCACGTTTTCTTTCCAACTAAAAGAAAGTTATAAATGCAATGAAATGTGCTTGTGCATGGACCAATAGAACATTCCCTATAATGCATAAGGTTCCATACGCATGCAAAGTGTCTTTAGGCTAAGCCTAAGGGGATATATATATTTATTTAAATTACAGATTTGATGCAAATCAGTCCAGTTATACCGAATAACGGGGTAATTCTATACAGTCCATAATCACGATCAACATAAATCGATCAATAACACAGAGCTTATCATTTGAAAATGAGAAATCTCAAGCCATTTCTGCGAGACCTGCAGAGATACAGTGCATTCTCGTGGGCCCAATTCCAGTTACCCAAAGGGCAAACTACAACGTTTGGCTTCTTTATTCAGCTGAATAAAGAAGCCAAACATTGTTGTACTGTAGTTTGCCCTTTGATTTTGATTAATAGCTTTGTTGCAAACAAAGAAAACAAAGGTTAAAGTTATAATATTGTTCAGCTAATTTGTTCAGTAACCTGGCAACCCTGGAGAGAAACCCTCCGGCGTCCATGCATGCACGATATGCTGCAGTTTGATTTCATTCACGATATGCTGCAGTTTGCTGCAGCATGTAGGAATACCTATATATATATTGACAATCGACCATCCTTTTTAGCATGCAATTTGTCACCCAACCTCAAACGTTTTATGCATGCATGCACTTGAAACCAGTACGAAAACATTTCTAAAATCCGAAAAATGATTATTTTGGCCGGATGACTAACCAAAAGTATCGCGCAGAATCCTGATGATAAGATTTTCGAATACATATAAACTAAATCCCCAAAATTATATTTGAATACTGATTTTAATTGCATATGACTATATACTATTCTGAGTTGCATTATCAGTGCATGTAATATCGAAATATGATGACAGCTATAGGTGTTCATCCTCTACTGCTATACTTTATAATTGTATGTCCCGTCGCATATCTTGAACAGCATTTAGATAATCAATTTGGCAACAATTGTCCATAAAATGCATTCGCCAACTCGGTCTCTTCCACTCCGAAGAAAAACTCTTTTGCCGCAGCGACGAACTCGTCTCGGTTGATCACGCCGTTGCTATTCGAATCAATGACGTCAAAGCAACGCTTAATTTCTTCGTCATTTATGTTGTGAGCAATAACATTGAAGTAGACTTTAAATTCTTTTTCGGATATGGTTCCATTGCTGTTTGTATCGATGCAATCAAACAGCATATCGTGGACTCCGGAGGGTTTCTCGCCTGATGGCGACAAGAGCACGTCGCTGGCGGCCTTGGCAGCTTCTTCCAACGGAATCTTCATACCAGGTTTAAGACTCATGAGATCGGCAACCTTTGCGAACGTCGCAGTAATTGCTTGGCATTTTTCCTCGGTGATATCACAAGTGTGTTCTATCAATCTTTTAGCCATGAGCTCAAAGTCTTCGCGTGAGATATAGCCATCGTGGTTCATATCCATTCTGTGCATACGTGTTCTCATTTTTCTCAAATGATAAGCTTTTTGCTGTTCATTCACGCTCATGTTGACGATGGATTGATTGGAATACGAGCTAGGACGCGCAACGCAAAGCGACGCTTATACTGAAATGACAATTGTCAGAGGTTTCAAAACGTATCGAGGCCACAGCCCTGACTCTTCTACAGTTTCTAACAAACAACCTCGTACCCAGGGTCTTTACTCGTGCCCTGGGTACGAGGTTGCCTAACAAAGCGATGAAAATTGATGACGCAAAGGATCATGGCAATACCCCGAGGCGCACCTTAGGTAAGCGACTGGAGACAAGTCAGGCCTCATCCGGCCTGTCGGCACGCCCACGTTACCAACGAACACGTGTTAAAAAAGAAGTTTGCAGCAAAGCATGATTCTCACGCCACTTACCTTCGAAGAGACTGTTGATGTGACTTGGATGTCACAGCACTGCTCAAATTCACAACCAGTCTCAAGATTTCTCGCTTAATCAAACTTCGTTCCTTTGAAGTGATCGCTTCACCTCGTTTGCCCTTGAGGAATTTTTCCAGAACGCTTCCAGAAGACGGAGTCTCGCTATTTGTGGGTCCGTTGGGCAAAGTCACAATTTTATCAGGGCAGTCAGTCTTACCGGCCGAGCCGGCTTCATTTGACTCTATTGATGCTTGCCGGACAACGTGATGTAGACCGGTGACATTGGATATGTCCATACACGACAGACAATGCGTGACATCATGCGATGCTTTTCCTTTTAGAATGTCTGTCGCTTCAGACTCCGGAATCGTTGATTCCTGCGGTATACTTGTGGAAATACCATTAAAATTCGCAGCCCACGATCCTTTGAACTGAGATTCGGCAACCTGAAATAACGGAACAAACCGCTGTGGATTTTGAATATATGTCCCCAGACAACTTCAACTTTTACAACACAAGTTATACAACGATCGAGTTTGGCGATCACTATTTTCAGAGCAATATCAGATGATGATGTACGGATTTGAGCTGTGTCACAGAGCAAGAAGTTTAAAAAATATCGAGCCATTGCAACTACATGGGATGAATGTGATGATATTATTACAGACAGAGAGAAAGAAGGGGGGGGCGTTTATGTTTTCAAGTGTTCTACCATGCTCATTAAATTCGAACACGCTATCACTTTATCGTATAGAATTCAGCGAAAACTATTTTAAATTTTTACCCAAAATAATGCCATGCAAATATAAATATAAATATGTACTGTACAAATGTTGAAATAGTAATGGTAATAAAAGCCAGCGCGGTAACGCCAGCAAATAGGCGGGGATAAATCCCTCGTTTAAATGGCCCTGTTATCTTTTAGTTTTGAATGGAAATGCACTCACCATGAAGAAGTCGGTTAGTTCACAGGGCAATGTCAATCCCAAAAACTCGTTTCCTCTGGCGGAACTCGCGGTCTTCACTTTTCTGCCATATTGATGCTCCAGAGGGGAGGGGGTCGGTAGGGCAGATGATCCCGATGTGTGACTTTCAGCCAGGTCTAAGGACAGTGGACGGGATTCTGGGATTGGTGGTCTGAAACACGTAAAAACAACATGACTAAAGAGGAATGGGAGAATTTCAGTGAAAGGAAATATATTTGCCAAAGATTTGCAAAAGAGCGATCGATGAATTGAAAAAAATAACGCCTCAGAGTTTCACAGAATGTGGTGAAAACGATAATCTCTTCTGATTGAAACTGCAAAACGCACACAGAGTGTTGGAGTAGCTTTACACTAACTCATGGACGCTAAAAGATAACAAATATTTCCTAGAAACCCCGCTTACCCAACGATGGCGAACGATTGATTAAATCCACCGATTCGCGATTCAATATCTCTGTTGATACTTCGTTGTCTCCGTAAATTACTCAAAGCCGAGTAACCGTGTGCATCGCGAAACGATGTATAGACTGGCATCATATCCCCGATTTCGACGTCCGCCGGTGACGTTGGGCTCATTGGAACGGACTGAAGACTCCATATGGACAGCGACGTCACGCTTTTCTTGAGGCGTCTTCCACGCGGAGTGTAACTTGAACTCGCCGAGCTCGCGCTCCGCGAATACGCTTTCCGCGGGAATTTCTTGCCCAATTCGTCGACCGATGTTCCAATGTCTCTCACGTGATCGTTGCGGCTCACTAAGGATGCCATGTCACTCAAGCCATCGCTAACACTCATCTGGTCTAAATACGACCCATCGAAAGCGTCATTCTCATCAGTCTTTGCAAGGCTTTTCAGGACCAACGTTTTGTTGTCCAGTAACATCACCTCGGTATTGCTGCCAGTTATCAAAGCTCGTTGTTCGTTACCTGGAGAGTTGATGGAGTAATCCACTTCGAAACAATTTGACGATTTGCGCGTGCGGGAAAGTGCCCGGTGCCTTCGGTTGTGCCAGAAAAGCTTGCGCTACGGGCATCAGCCGTGATGGCCAGCCGGGGATCTACTACACTTCCCTTTTCGTTTAAACTGGAGCTACGCGTGCGGTTTAGCTCTGATTGTCTTTTCCGTATCGTCTTCTCGTATGTTTTTTCCAGGTCTAATTGTAACGGAGGTTGTCGTCGAGGCTTGTCTGACTCTTATAGCTTCCAAAACTTTGCGAGGTCTCCATGGACGAAAGTGAACGATAACTTGATTCGCTCACACCGCTGGAGCTGCGCACGTGACGCACTTCGTCGCCACCATCGGTCATAACGCGTGATCGTGGCGTGCTACTCAGCGGACTAACGTTTGTCTCTTCGGGTTCTACTTTTCCTTCCCTTGCTGAAATGAAGAATAGTAAAATATTGAGGTTTTGATGGAATAGAACAAGAGAACGTCCATTACAGGTGTTAAAGCTCTCTTAGACGGTGGGATTTTTCATGCAACTTGCAAAACAATTCTACTTTTGAGAGATGTTAGATTTGGTGACTTGTGTTTATTACACTTCATATACGTTTCTCACACCTCCATTTTGAAGACTTTTCACTAATTTGCATATTTTAATTATGAAAGGGTGAAATCCATGATTAATTACGCTGCATCATAGCCTATGATAACTGCAGTATTTTACTCTGATTACAAAAAGTATCTTAATTATTGATTTAATTTCCTGTTTTCCGGTTTGTAAAAGGTCTATTATATTTCCTTTCAGGGCAATCCAAAGGCCCTGTTACACGGTGCAATTTTGCTTGCAAGTTTCAATGCAATTCTACTTATAAGCTGTAATTGCATTGGTCTTTTTGAAGGTAAAATTTAACGTAGCATTACAACACTCCAATTACTATTTGAGATGCAAAGAATTTCGATTCCTTCTTCCGAATTTTCAGGCAAAAATATTTACACAGCACACAAGCGTTGGACCGTATAAATTTGACAATTGAAATGACATATCTTCGCATTAACCGAAAGATACAGGTCCTGAGATTCGTTTTCCCAACTTAACTCACTTTGTGAAGAACTTGTACTCTTAAGGATTCTACTAATCAACGAATTTTCTCCCAAGGAACTCTCGTATGGGCCGAGGTTGATCGTCTTCATTTGGTTGCCGTGCAATCCAAGACTGCCGTCACTGTCGGCGGAATATCTGGATGCATTTGAAGCGCTGCGCGGATACGACTCACTCCGTGCTAACATCGCCGGACTATTCTCCTTTCGAGACGATGGTCGTTTCTTTCCCCCCGGCTGCTGTCATCGTCGACACCGCCTTTCTTCGCAGCCGCGGTTTCTGCAGGGGGTGGCATAAGATGTTCCGGAATCGACGCTTTCTTTATCCTCTCGAGTAACGAAGGTGTCTCGGCCTTTGGCTCGACTTCCTCGTTAGAACCGGTTGATTTTTCCTCCGACAAAGACATGCTGCTTCCGTCGTTGTGATCCCCGCTAAAGTACATTGCTTGTTTTCTTTCCTCGAGCATGCTAAGCAAGATACCACTGCCGGTCCCTTCGTCATGTTTTGGCACCTTAGGCGCCTCCTCTCCGAGGTAAATACCGCTGCTTTTATCATAAACATTACTGAGTTGCTGCTCGGTACCGAGATACACACCGCTCGCTGCGTCGTACAAAGACTTTTGAGCGTCCTCTGTCTCACTCTCGGATCTTCTGTGCTTGAGACTCTCGTCCACGCTCTGTCGGTAGTAATCTAGGAATTGAAGGTAATTGAATTGTTTTTTAAACGATCGTTCCAAATATTATATATACTACACGCTTTCTGGCCGTGAACCCAAAAATTGGTCGGGCAAATTAATGACTTGCAATTTTCAGTAAAAATTTCACTATACAAACAATTCGCATACAAAGATACATGTAAATGTACATATAAAAATTGTTAACCTGTAGCAGCAGAGAGGGATGAGACAAACCACTTGGAATAAGGTAGTGCTTCCTCTGTAACCTCAACAACAGGCCACGAGTCCTCTCCTTTATGACGAACGCTTTCCCAGTTCAGATCTTTAAGAATGTCGGCGCCTTGACGGGTCGTGGCAATCAATCCCAACACATAAAAACACGTTCTATACACAAAAAATACATAGGCTAAAGTTCACTTGTCTGATCGGTTTTGAAGATACATGCATGATGCCCAACTGAATTAAGCTACCGCCTCTTTCCACATAGCGTTCAATGGAATTAACGCAACATTAAAAGTATTGATCACAGATTAGATCAGAATGAGGTGAAAAAGGAGGATACGTGACACATGCAGTTCGACGGTCTCGAAACTAGAAAAGAAATCGTGACTCACCCTCGGAGAGTTAGCACATCACAAAAGTTTGCCATTTGAACAATATGAGGTATAATATCCTCGTCAATCAAAATACTCAAACCCCAGCTTGATGTGCCAATATGACCCTAAGGCATAAGGAAACGTAAAACGTCAGCGAGCAGTTCCTTTGTAGTAATGATTCGGAAATAGTTCGGTTAAGTATCAATCGTACACTCCGTCCAAGATTGGAAAATTCTTAGCTTTTTTAGGAAAAAAGGAACAGGACTATCGAGTTGAACGGCCATGGTGGAACAGTTAGTTTCATGAGCTACGACCACCCGGTCAATACCGAATGCAAAGAACACCCAGAGAACTTGGCAGTGTGTGATGAAAAATAATTTTCCTAACACCAAGCTAATGAAAGTAACACATGAATGACATGATCAGATCTATTGACTGAATAAGTGCAAACGGTTGCTCGATCACTGCTCGGAACTTCAGCTATTGGGCGGACATAAATGGACTTTACGGTTTAGCATACTAAGATTAGTAAAAATGCCAAGTTTGGCTGCACTATGCGAATTTGGTAAATTTTACTACCAGAGGACCGAGGACTTGAATTTGAGTTGTGTACGATTCCCACTCGAAATTAAACCTTTAAACCATTTTGTATTACGTGTTAGTTGTTATATACAGATTGCGCACGTATAAACAAAAAAGTATACAAAACTTCGCGTGGCTATATTTACGAATAAGTATAGGTAATCATGCGATGGCGAGTACAATTCGGGATCATTTGGTCGTAATTCACGTCCGAACTATTTCAAATCGGTAAAAATTACCGCTTGTTTCAGACGATTACGACAAAATAAAAACAGACCTAAGACCATACATAATACTACATACCAATGCCCACAGCGCTGTTTTGACTTTGTGAATGTCTGCAGCATTGTCTGCGTCGAACATTTGTATTGTATGCACAAACTGACCAACATAACCCTGAATAAAAAAAGTTGATTACACAATAGAAGAATAGATATAAAGATTAGGTAAACAGTGCAACAAGATGTAAAGTCATCATCTTACATGCACGAACAGCTTTTACGCAGGGTCGTATTTTAAACCTTTTTCAGAACGTGAGAAAATCTTGTTCATAATCCCACAAGGCACATTCAGTTAAAACAACAAGAAATTAAGGCAAATGGCATATTCACGTTACAAAAGTGCCGTTCATATGCCATAGGCTGCCCAGAAATGTTTCTCGTGGCGCTCGCGCGTTATATACGCGAGTCTACTCGATCTGACATAATAGATATATAGATACAATTTATTTAACCACGGTAGAATCTTCAGTGTATAAAAACTAAATTAAACTTATTTACAGAACCGATTTACAAGATTGCCGCGTGGGAGTCAATATTACAAAAAATTGAGTAATAGTCATTGGTAGCTTTTCTATAAGCTGTGGATAAAGTGGAAGACTTCGTATTTCTTGAGGAATACCATTCCAAAATAGTGCCCCGTTATAGCACAGACTTCGTTTTAAATAATTTGTTCGATGCTTTGGTCAATTTTATATATTGGAAATTATTTAATGTATATTGGAAATTTTCAATTAACAAGGGTTAATTTTTTAGGAAAAATATTTGCTACCGTAGCACATAAGTAGCACATAACTTTAAGTAGCACATAACTTATTTCTCATACTTTCTCAAATTGAAAACCTCATATTGTTATTTAATGGGTTTCAATTAACGAGAGGTACTTTTTTAGGAATAATATTTGCTACCGTATAGCACATAAGTATTTTTTATTAATATCAATTAATGACTGCATTTCTAGGATTTTCTAGAGGATCAGCAGTATATCGGAAATAACAAACGGTTATACTCAATATTGCATGGTAACTGTAAATTATGAATTTGTTGTTACGACTGCTGACTACATGCGTAAAATATACATTCATGTGAAATATATTTAATCCCTCGAGGCCCGAAAGCGCAATACGGTAAACGCTATCGCCATGCAAGATACGAATTTACCATTTGTTTAATGTTATGCACTGGGTTTGTGTACAGAGGTAACTCGCGCGTGAGGTAAAGCGTTTCTCTCGGAAATGTTTAGTAGTATAAGGGGAAAAATGGCAGCATACTAAAAGATGGTACAGATTGACATTATCCTTAGGAGACCTTCCTTATGGTTGGTTTTATGCAAGGTTCAGAGTAATTATAATGTATGATACATATCATCTGGATAAAAGCAGTTATCATCTATACATTGATTTGCATTAATCTTCACCTAATTAGCATAACATTCCCTATTTTGCAATCTTAGAGTTGTGTTAAGTTGTTTCGAGAAAGTTGTGTTGTGTTGTGTTTGTTTTGTGTTGTTTCGCGTTATTTGAAATTTTTGTAAAAGGAGCCAGTTGTATAAAAGACTAGTTAATTTTTAACTGTTAAGGACATAATTAGCTAATCATGCAGAGCCGTGTATTTCTGAGTTTAACTATGGAAGGTAGGATTTAACTATGCAAAATGTATTTAAAGAGTTTTATACAACTGGCCCCAGGTCACGTGATTGGCTCAAGTTGTATTAGTGGTCCTGAGCTGTTTTATCGTTTAAAATTAGTTGCACTGTCCTGTAAAC